CTTTATCTTTTGAGGAAAAATTGGATAGTATAGATGTGATTTCTTTGTAACTTAGGAGGCTGAGGTGAGACCTAATTGAAGTACATAAAATAATAAGCGGTCGGTATAAGAGTGGACAAGTAGACCCTTTGATTGAGGGAACTATAAACAGGGGGAAGAAATTAAGGTAAGAGATAGGATGTTGAGAGGGGGAGGTTTAAGCCAAATGTTTTTCACTGAGGAAGTGGTGGGATCTGGAACTGACTGCTTGAAAGTGTGGAAGAGGCAGAAACCTTCATAATATTTATCAAGTACTGGGATATGCATTTGCAGTGTTGCAATCTTCTGGGCTATAGACCAAGGGTTGGAAAGTAGGATTTGGTTGGTTTTTGCTTGTTGGCCAGTGTAAATACAATGAGTCAAATGGATTCCTACAGTGCTGCAAATTTCAATGACTTTTTATGTCAATTGCTTGAGGATGTGTATCCAGGAAGAAATCAAAGCATGTTGCACGTGGCACTATGTCAGAGGTCTTCCTATGTGTGACATCAATCAAAAAAGCTATCAATTGATGTATAATGATGGGGTCATTGTGATACAATTGCTGTGGATTACAGGGAAGTAATATTGCTGTATAGGTGATGCAGATATAACATCTCAACTGCAAATTTAACCAAAATGTTTACAGTATCATCCTGTTAAGCATATCGTCCCATGGGTTTTAAAATATTCTTATGAGAATAGAAGGTCAAATCAATGGGCTCAGAGAAGCATTGCATCACTATCAGAAGACCAACAGACCCAGATCTCTATCGACTGAAGTAAATCCCTTTCAGATGCAAAGAAGACTAGCAGACTTCTTCCCATCCTATTAAATTGGGAGGATTAAAAATTAAGTGTATTCATTGAAAGGGGAACAAGTTACATTTTCTGACATTCCTCTCAACAGTAAAAATGCTCCACAAAATTTTGTTCCTTGTGTTATTTTTAAGAAATTCCTAGACAGGCATTGAAACATCCTTTAGTTCTAAACAGATACATGGATTTTATATAACAGGAATTTCTTCCAAACGCATGTATTTCAAAAACATTGTAAAAGAAATCTTCATCCAAATGATTTTTTTGTCTTTTGAAGTAGCCTTTGCAACCTTGGAGAAAAAAAACTGTTGATGATCTTTTGGACATTCCTTACAACCTAACTCTTTGATCAAGCATTAGTCAGTTCTTCTGGTATTTCCTTCCATGGCTCAGTGTCAAATTTTTTGGTATATTACTTAACATAGAAAAATGTCTAACAATACTGTTATTGTTAATTGCTAATGAGCTGTCAGTTGTTTTTGTTGAGATGATACATTCCAGTCTTTCACAGATTTAACTTGAACAGATTTGATGCAATATAGTTTATCGTGGATTGCCCCAGAGATGGATAAGCAACAGGTGCATTTGGAGATAGCAAGAACTGCCAATACTGGAGTCAGAGACAGTACAGTGTAGAGCTGGAGGAACACAGCAGGCCAGGCAGCATCAGGGGAGCAGGTAAGTTGACGTTTTGGGTCAGGACCCTTCTTCAGAAATTAATTTCTTAATTGTCAAACTTGCCTGCTGTAGATGGCAAAGTTTATTCTCAATTTACTCAACGGTATATGCATTTGCTGGGCAATTCCAAATGTACCTTTCTTTAATTTCTGAAGAAAAGTACATTTGGAATTGTCCAACAAATGTACATACCCTTAAGCAAATTGAGAATAAACTTTGCCATCTACAGTAGGTAAGTTTGACAATTTGCATTTTACAGCCATCTTGATGAAGGAACTTACTTGCATCTAGAACACTAATTACATTGTGAATCTTTGTACAGCACTGGATCCCAGGATGTGTATATGACCACTCTGTTAGCTC